CATTCCCTGCTGAGCACCAGCCAGGAGCGTCGCTGGAGTTGCATCAGGCGTTGGTGGATTCCGAGCGGTTCGGGCCTTGCATTTTGGCTTGGGCGGAGGACGACCGCCAGGAGCTGATGCAGCTGAAGGAGGGTCGCTTGCGCCGGCAGATGCCAAGCTGGAGCAGTCCGAGATGGCAGGATTTCGAGGTTGTTGAGCTTGCGGGTCATGACCGGTTCGTGTTCGATTTTGTGGCACGCGCTACAGTGATTGGTTGCAGAGCGAGGTCAGCAGAATGGGGCCGGGCCAGTGCGGAAGGGCGAAATCGTCATGGCGGCTTTTCCCCCCGACTTCCACGGCAAGTTGATCAAGGCGGCGGCGGATGCGGCTTTGCAGGGCGAGGCGGCTTTGGTGGTTTTCGAAGGACCGAGGGCGGTGACCTGGGATGGTGCGGCCAAAACGTTTGTTCGAGCTGGATGGGACGTACATGTGGCCGAGTTCATCTCAACGGAGTTTGGCGAAGCAACAGCACGGAGACGAGTATGTTTGGTCGCACACCCGAACAAGCTCATCGGGAACCCAATGGACACAACAACGTGTCGAAGTTTGTTGGCACCTCCCATGGCACCGCATTTGGAACCAACAAAGATGGCGCCGCAATCGCTCTGGATCACTCCCGAGAAGCTGGTGATGGACGCTGGGATCCCTCGAGAACCTTTACTTCCTCTGCTGAAGGGTCACTTTTGGATGGATGGAGTGAGGAAGTGCCTCGCGAACACCGGCGGCCCTCTTCGTTGGCCACTGCGAGTCCCAGGAGAAGCCCGAGTCGAGGACTGCATCGTACATGATCCCAGAGGCCCTTGCGGGAAACTACGGCGACTGACCCCTTTGGAGGTTTGGCGATGCCAGGGAAGACCGAGTGAAGTGTTTCATGAACTTCTTCGACAAGGCCGGCGCGAAGACGACATCCTGGTCGATGGTGGTCGTGCAACGGGCGGGCAGGTGGCCTCGGCTCTGGTTGTCATGGCAGGCTTCATCGTTGGCAATGTGGAGGCCGAGACGCGCGCGGGAGGCTGCGGAGATCGTTTGAGCGATGAGCAGCTGACGAAGATCCTGAGTTGGCTGCATCGTTGGCGACGAGGCTTGCTACCTAGAGGGCATCCTTCAGACCACGGTCGACGAGCGGGTGGCGGCGAAGGGCACGGTGATCCTCTACATTTCGGGCATCCACGTGTGGTGCGGCGATGGCTGGAGGCAGCGTGGCTTGCCGACTCGAGCGACAGCGAGAGCGAGGGTGACTTCCAGGTCGAGCATCGGGCCGGCAAGGTGGCGACACGACGGGGCAAAGGGTCCAGGGGGGCGGAGGAGGCGGTCGCGGTGGCCCAGTTGGACGACCTTTTGATGGAGGCGTTGGAGCACGCGTTGAAGAGTGGATCGAGCAAAACCTCGCCGGGTACCTCGCGGAGAGCACCACGAAGCAGTAGGCGTGCTTGGGCAAAGCGTCACGGATGGATCACTGAGTTTCTCGACAAGGCCAACCTGCCCGAGGAGAACGAGGAGAAGCTGCTTAGGTTTCTTGGTTACCTTGGGTGGTTGGGTTGTTCGGTGGCCACGCTGAAGCAGGCAGTGTTCGCCATCAAGGACGGGCACAAGCGCGCCGGCAAGGGCGACCCGACAGAACGCATGTTCCGGCTATGGATGTTGCTGAGTGCGCTTGAGAGAAGAGCGCCAAAGAAGGCGCGGCGTTTGGGTGTGACGCCGGAGATGCTCAGGTGGTTGGCCAAGTTTGTGCACCAGGCCCCCGACAGCCATGAGGATAGCTTCGATGCAATCATGCTCAATGCGGCGCTGCAGACAGCGTGGTTCTTCATGCTGAGGGCAAAGGAGTTTTGCAACAGCAACGGGGTTGACTTGGAGATGATCCTTCGAGGCGCTGACCTTAAGTTCCTGGAAGACGAGTCCAACGGCAAGGTCAATGGGGTCACTTTGCAGTTTCGTAAGACGAAAGTTGATCAGGAGGCCTTTGGGGAGCGCAAAACCTTGTACGTGTCCGGCATCCCGGAGGTTTGCGTAGTGACAGCCCTGCTCAAGTTCAAGGCGGTGGCACCACAACGGTTTGGAAATGGTTGCGAGGCGCTGAAGCCGCTCTTTCGATGGTCAAGTGGGCAGATGCTGATGCGGGGTCAGGTCCAGAATGTGTTGCAAAAGGCGGCCACGGCTTGTGGCCTTCCAGCTGGGCGCTTCATGTCACATTCGTTGAGGATCGGGGGGGCATCGGCCTTGTTTCAGTCGACCGGGGAAATTGAGTTGGTCAAGCGCAATGGGAGATGGTCTTCATCGGCGGTGCAGCGGTACCTTCATGATGGAGAGATTGCACTCCGCAACACGGCGGAGAAGATGGCCAAGGTTGAGCAAAAGATCCATTACACGTAGATGGGCTGAGCTTTTGGGGGGCGGTGGCACTGACGAGCCATAGGAGCTCCAGCGGTGCAGTGAGTGCCAAAAGTCTCCTGTGGAGTGCTTCCGCTTGAGTTTTGCTGTTTGTGAGGGCTCAATGAGCCGTTCGTGCACCAAAGATTAAAATTTTGTATAGTAAATTAGAATAGATTTTAATGTATCATAACCTAATACTATATACTGCATTGCATTGCTCTGAGGGTGAGAGCTCTGAAATTCCGGTTCTGCGGATGGCTAATGTACATTCAGGCAATTTGGGGCGAGAGTACTGCAGGGTACCAGTGTCACGGCCAGTTCAACAAGAAGCTTAGCACCAGCATCATGAGCAGAAACCCTAAACCCTAAACCAACTGTTCCAGCCTTCCCATTCCATGCGAGAACAAACAAAACAGCCCCACCCTGCACAGGCCCAATTTGCTTGACAGCGCAGCTGAAAGCTATGTAAACATCCGAGTGTTTCATGCACATGAAACCTGTTTCTGCGGAACTAGCACAAACAACAGGCCCACGGAATACCAAGACATGTCACACGTAGCCATATGAAACAAGTTCGCAAGAAAAAACCCAGAAAAAGTGTCCGGAAGATCCCAAAGTTTTCCTGGACGTGCTCTCAGGAGGTTCTACGTTGCGAACCCCTCTTAGGTCAGGGGGTGGAGGGTTTTCTGGGTTGTGTCGGACCTGTTTAAAAACTCACGTGCCCTTCTCTCAGAGCGAGCTTCATGGAGTCTGCACCATTGCCCGCCACGCACACAATCTGGCCACCTCAAGAGCAGCCCGTCTCATCTTATGAGCCCCCGTGTGGTGGAGGTGGCTAGGGGTTGTGGTCAGGGAGCTGAACCTGCATTACCATAATATCTGCATGCATATATGTATAAATACGTATATATATATATATAACATATCTGTATCTATCTATGCATTTTATCTATCTGTCTATATAATGTAATGATATGGTTTCCTTACAAGGGAGCTCAATTTAAGTCTCTTAGCAGCAACCCAGGACTCTTTGCGGCAAGTCGCTTGTGTAGGTTGCTTGTAGCAAATGCTCCGCGATCTTGCGGATGATGTGCTCAGGAAACCCGTTGAAGATGCGACCTTTCACACATGCCGCAAATCCACATAGGGAATAGGGCTGAATAGGGGTAATATAGGGGTTATGGAAAAGAAAATCGAAACCAATACATTACAATGTCGTCTATAATGGGGTTATAGAGGGATTGGGTTTCTTTGGGGGCGTTATAGGGGAGTATGTACAGGTGACTATGTAAGGAAACTTCAGGTTCAGGCTTCAGATAACTGCCGATAATTAGGCTTTTATTTTTGCTATTCATACTTTTGCTACTATCATTGCTTAGTTGCTCTGATTCTTGTTGCTATTACTGCTATTACTATTGTGATTATTTCTTCTTAGGCAGCCCCCGCAATAAGGATGACGGAATATTGGGGTCTGAGTGTCTAACATCTGGGGCAGAGATCAACTGCCATAGCATCGATAGTCACAACGCAAGCTGAGAGCGGTGCACTTGTTCAGTGCTGGGATGACTTGCTCCTGGAGCCACTTCTGCCTGCCAAAATTGCGTTCTGCGCTTGGCTACAGCCGATTCTTTAGCAGCACAAGGGCGTAGTCTCCCAAAATACGGGGACCCCATTAATACACCCCAAAATACTACTATCCTTACCCTAAAGAGGCCCCCTAAATTTGGGAACCCCCATATCTTTTGTGCTTCATGGCCTTACTCGTTCCACCTCCTTGTTGGCAGATGCACGCCTCAGCTGGCATCGCAGATCTAACTTCGATATGAGCTTTCGTCTAAACTCCTAGTATCCCTCTTTATAAGCCCTAAAATCAATATACCCCCAATTAAGGAGTTTAGACTATAGCCCATATGATTGCGGAGAATCGTGTAGTGCAGTAGGTCCACCATTGGAAACCAGCAACATCAGCTTCCAACAGCATCTGCTGGTCATGAGCAGTGCTGACGAAGAAACATAGAAACACAACAGCAAAGCCCTATAGGGATTATGGAAAAAGAAAATGGCAACTACTATATTATAGCAGGGTATGTTTTGGAGTTGTAGTAGGGAGAGTGCAAAGCAAGTGTGCTTGGACTCATGACAATTGAAATGCATAGTTTAGGTCTCCATCCATCAATAGTGGCTACAAGGTATAACAGTAGTTTGCATTGAGATCCCTACATATATGCTCTCATTGTACCACCAACACCGGGTCAAATCTCACCTCAACATACACTGCTCTTCTGCGGAGTTGCTTCTGGAAGATGGCCTGCAGGGACTCGTACTCATCCGGGTAGGCGGTAATTGCCCTGGCCAATAGGGTCATGTGAAAGTTTCGAAAAAGGCAGGTCACGTGAAACGCTCGCTGTGACTAGAATCCGTACCATCGCAACTCCCAAACAAGGACACTCCATGATTGGCAGCTCCCATTTGTTGGGTTCTCAGAAACCGGGTGCCAATCGAGATCCTGAAGTTAGGATTCTGGATCATGACCAGGTTATAAGGATCAGTCTGACAATCAACGTAGGGAAGCCGATTTTGAGAGGCTAGGAAATGGAGAAGCTGCTGGGCAGCAGTAAGAAAACAAATTCAATCCTACCATCTCGGAACCTGGACATCATCGACATGTACTTCAGCAGAATAAGAATGGAAATCCTTCCTAGTGCCCCTCGAACCCCTGGGCCTTTGTATGGAGCTGCCGTGCAGTCGCACGGCTCGCACCAGCGTGTCTCGCCAAGCCTGAGATACATCAAACACCTTGTCTGAGCCAGCTACATCTTGCTTAGTCTCAAGATGCAAGTGGGCAATCCGCAGATGTCCATGCCACACTCGTCCTAGAGACGTTCCCATGTCACCAACCGGAATTTGTGGCGAAAACTCGCCCACTCTGGACTAGCGGAACCCAGCACCTTGCCCTTGCATCAGTCAACCTTTCCTTCTGGCCCTGTCAGATGCAGAGGGCAACCCTTATACACTTTGTGTGCATACATACTTAGCAGCATTCGCTTTGCCTTTTCAACAGCCTGGTCCTGGCGACCAAAGCAAAACCATGATGATGATGGCCATTAATCTTGTCCTAATCGGAAACTCGAAGACGTAACGAACTTGTTTCTTCACAAGGCTTCCCTGCCCCTCTGCTCCATCCAAACGAGGATGGGTGCAGGCACAGGCGATAACTGCTGCGGCAAGAGAGGGTGAATAAGGAAGATGTCTCCTAGCATTTGAAGATATTCGGGACGTGGGCAGATCCAGAATTTGCAAGCCCATCATTCAGTTCGATTTGTTGACTCTACGCACCCGGGTTCCGATAAAAGCTGGGAACGTCTCAAAGATGGGTGCCTCTTTAGCACCAGGCGGTATGGTAAATAGGCATGAGAAGGAGATTCTCACATCCTAAGAATCTTACGGATTACAGGAAGATTGTTTTAAAAAAACTCAACTCATGGCCAGGCACTCGAACTGTGGCGCCACGGATTGGTGCAATCCCCAAAGCCCCGCCCTCGCCCACCACGTCACCAGGGTTCAGCCTGTAGCAAGACTCGGATCTGGTGCCCCATGAAATGAAATGGGGAGTATATAGGGGTGGGAGTTTCAAGAATTGGGGATCCCCTCTCATTTTCAGGTGCGCTTGTCTAAGCGAATCCTCATTGACAATGATCTTAGAAACCCCAGATTATCACGGACTTGAATGATGTCCTTGTTTGGCTGTGTTTGGGAAGCCGTCGCAGAATCGGCTTTGGCGTGGATTTCGGCACAGCAAGAGAGCTCTTATGTCAAAACAGCAAAGTTGAATGTGCCTGCCAAGCTCGTCGCCATACTCTCCTGAAGCAGCACAAATCTGATCATGGAGACTGACACTCTGCCGCCAAGACTAATCTGCTACGAGGTGGGCAAAGGACAATCAAGATCTTAATCAATGATTTGAAAAGCATACGAGTGGGCTGTACCCTGAGTCACTGGTTGACAGCCAAGCAAAGGAAGACTACAAGTGAAACCGTCCTTCGACAATGGCTGCACCCTGCAGCAATATGTACCTCAGGATAGACAGGCGGATCAAACTGATTTGATGCCTGGCAAACTGAAAAACCTCTGAAACTAAAAACTTCAAAACTTCAAAAACATCACCAAAGCAACCTAGGATTGAAACGAACATATCCAAGAACAAGCTCCGAGAAACATGCTGCCGGACAAATACAGGTGGTTAGAAGGGATGCTTACAGACAGCCCATTCCTCACTCCTCCTTCCCCACCAGAAAGTAAAATGAAGTCAGCTCCGTTTGAGTTTGAGGACTCTCCGAGAGCTCCCCCTCAGTCCCCTCCGAATTCAGCACCACTCCTGCAACAGACTAAGACAGCAGAAACGACATCAAAGCAGATGCGCTTGAGTATAGCTGATTGAGAAATTCCATCAGCTGAAAGCAACATCACGGGCCACGTGAAACCCCGGCATGTCCAACAACCAGCGCAGAAGTACTTGCACGAACCGTCTCACGACGATTTTCCGTGATAATATGACGCGTGCCTGGCCTACGAACATCATTGGTGACCCACCCCCCGTGCTCCACACTCAAGAACACCGCGTGAGGCTTTCAGAGGGTCCATGAGGATCTCTTGGATCGATAGGTGTAATTTGGCGGCTTGGAGATAGGTCTGTTAAAGGAATTTCAAAGCTCTGTATTGATGGCTTGTTGATGTGTGATAATACATTCAATGGTGTCGATGATGCCGCCCTCTTGCAGGGTTAGCATGTTGCTGAGGTACTGGACCTTCTATGGGCTTCTCTGTAGTAGGTGTCTAGGGTTTGTTATGAATTTAGGGGATGTTCATGATGAATCCCGGGACTTAGGGGGGAAGAGGGGGCGGGGGGAACCGAGCCGCTGGCCTGATTTTGGGAAAATATCGTTGTAGACTTTATTAGGGTTCTCTTCTTGGATCATAACTTACTGGCTTCTAGTAGGGAATAAGGGCATCTATTATGGCTGTAATATAGGGATTATATTGTTGTTAGCTTAGGGCAGGTCTTTGAAAGGGAAGACTGCCAAGTTGCATGATGGCCTCGCCCAGCTTGCAAACCTGCGGAAAGGAAGCAGGACAAGGTGACTCCGAAAGCGTCACAGCAACTGAAAGAAATGCTGTACAACAGGAATGGGCTGTAAAACATGAAGCCCATCCAGTCCTGAAAAAGCAAGGCCCCCTCCCACAGCTGAAAATATAATCAACCCTAAACCCTATAACGCATTATAGTGGTTTCCATTTTCTTTTCCATTATTCCAATATAACCCCTATGTAACCCCCAGAGAACCCCAATATATTCGGCACCTCGCCGCGGCGGAAGATATCGTCGCCGGGTCCAAAATAAACCTCTCCAGGCTCACATTTGCAGACCTGCCTGGGCACTGCTTGAGGGCCTTGCTTTTGGGGAAAGGTTTAGTCCCAGCGTGCCTCATCAGCCCGCTCGCAGACCACCGAAAGGAAGTCCTTGCTGACCTAAGTCAGGCAGAAATACCCAGGCAGCTTCGGAAAATGCGCAGGGCGCTGTTTTCAAGGTCTCTTCCCACAATCATACTTGCATCATCTTGCATCCATCCTTAACTAGCATCTTCTCTACCACTCCCGGAGCAAGTGAGGCTCGAGCATTGGAGAAGGCCCGACTCTTTTGCAGGTGCTCCTAGAGCAAGACGCGGTATAACACCATCTGCAGATCTCCAGCATATGCAGTGGGCTTCCCTCTTTGTCTGGTCAGATTTGGTAGTTTCCCTAAACAGGGGGACCCCAATATAGACCCCAAATACTACGCTCCTTGTTACAGCGACCCCAAAGATGGTACCCTACTTTTGGGAAACCCTGAACCCTAAACCCTATAGAACCCCTATATAACCCTATGTAACCCCTATAAAACCCCTTTAAAGGGTACCCCTAATTTTGGGGAGTTTTCCCCTCCGTCCTGCAGGTCCAGCGCACTCTTGCTTGGCTCGCTCTGCTCGGGGTTGGCAGCGGACATATGGCTGTACCTGACAAGTTGAGCAGCCATCACTACTATGAGTATTTTAATGATTCTTATTAAGATTACTACTATTATTCCTACTACTGCTAGTACTAATAAGTAGTAGTAGCAGTAGTAGTAGTAGCAGCAGCAGCAGTAGTAGTAGTAGTAGTAATGTGGCTGTACCTGACATGCAGAGAAGAGCTCATTATTACTAATGTTAGTAGGGAGGGCAACGTATGCAACGTAAACGCACATCAAGTCAGTAGCATTTCATAGCCCAAGGTGCAGCTCCACGTGTGAAGGGAACTCCTCCAGGACCTCTCGCAACACGAAGAGCCGGATAGACAGACTGGAAAGCTACGCATCGAACACTTTGACCTGCCAGCCTGCCGGAAGACGCTCCTCGTGAGTGCCAGTGCGATGCAGCGCGTCACCGCTCGGATACGGTTCGGATACGTGCCTTCAGTTCAGCCCAGCTTGGCTAGGTACACGTCAAGGACCCTCTTTTTGTAGAGTGGTTCTTGCTTTGTGGTGGTCAGCAGCTCTTCGTGCTGCCAGAGCCACGTGCGACGCCAAGAAGCACAGATTCCTGAGCATGATCACCGGACCCATTTTTGCCCAGACCTAGAACTCGTCTCTGCAGCAAAGTCTTGAAGGTGCGACTCAGCTTTCGGACAAGAGTCTCCAATGACGCTGCCAGACTTCAGCCTTATCAAGCCATGAAACTACTCTATTGGGTTATCAGGGTTTCGAAGGAATGGAAAGGAAAATGGAAAGTACTATAATGCGCCGACCCTGTCTTCCAACACAGGCTGTTGAAGCCAGAGCTTGCATCAACTTCAGATGGCTGGCCTTTGCTTAGCCAGGCATGAAGTAATGGATCCTTATAGCAACTATTTAACCCATTATAGTAGTTTCCATGCTCCTTTCCATTCCTTCAGAACCCTAAACCCTGAACCCTAAGCCCTATACCAACCCACTATGGTAGTTTCCATTTTTTCTTT